TGGACGGCTTCAAAAGGGAATTAGATAAGCATATGGAGCAGAGGTCCATCAGTGGCTATTAGCCACAAGGTATAGATAGGGACTCTGGGGCAAGTGATGCTCTGTCATCTTGGTGCTTGGGGGGGGGTCAACAGTGGGAGGGCTTCTAATGTCCTGGCCCCACTGGTGGACCTCCTGATGGCACTGGTATTTCTGGCCACTGTGGGATACAGAGTGTTGGACTGGATGGGCCTTTGGCCTGATCCAACATTGGCATCTCTTATGTTCTTATGTTCTTATGATGACTCACCTAAAGAAGCACTGCTGCTGGATGCATCCTGGGATGGTGTTGACTTCAGAGTCTTCTGCCGCTTGTCCTGGTTCTTTTCAATGTGAGGAGGGCTCTCTGTAGTAGCTTCCCTTGAGGCGCTGGATGATCTAGACTCAGCTGGTGACCGTGGTCTCTGTTTGCTCCTGGGGGCAGGGGCTGTGGGAGGTTCAGGAGAAGCTGCATGTGACCCTAGCTGGTCCATTCACTCTGACAACTGTACCAGTGTTCGAGCAATGCCCTGCAAAATAGCCAAGTTTATTTATTGGAGCAATGGGTGCTGGTTGCATTGTTTATGTCACTGGAAACTGACTCAATGGGTTTCTGCTAGCAGGGCTGGGTAGCAAGCTGTAGCAGTGAAGCTGTGCCCAGTAATGCAAGAGTCCGCCATCCAACTGCACTGATAGGATTCTACTTGCCCCATAAGGAACCACCATTTATTGGCTACTGAAGCTGCAACCTCAAGGGCTGGCTAAGCACCCCATTAGAAAACCCCTGTACTGTAGGGCCCTGCTGATTCAGGCACCGATGCTGCTGCAGCCTTCTGAGAAGAAAATGCTTTAAGTGAGGACAGTGATGCAATCTCCAGCTGTCTGATGGCCACACACACAAGAAAAATCAACCATGAGCTCCTTGGTGGGTAAAAATAAAAGCTGAAGAAAAGGAACCCCAGCCAACCGGGCTCAGGCTAGAGTGAGCGGCTTTGCTTGTGTAAAAGGCCAACTGCCCCCCCCGCCAAACAGCTGATGCCCTAGCATGCAGCCACCAAACAGCTGATGGGCTTTAAATCCTCACTGGTAAAAGTTGAAGTAAATCTCCAGCCCCAGACTCCTCCAGTTAGCAAGTGGTCACATCAGCCGAAGATCCTCGAGGTTATCTGCTTGCAAGCCAGTGAGGAAGAACTGAGGGTGAGCCAGCTGTAGTGAGGGGTTGAGATAGCCACTGGGGCATCTAAGCCCCATCCCTTTGGGCCATCCCAGCTGACATAGCCATCTGGCCTGGCTGGCAGTTGATCCCGCTCCCTCCAGAGCCTGCAAGGCAGTACAAGGCTGTCTGACTGCTTTCCTTCTTGCCTCGCTCCCCCCTCCCCCCCCTCCTCCGCAAAGGCTGCAGGAGGCAAATCTCAGCTGTGCTTACAAGTTAATAGGGAGTTGATGTGTGTTAGGTTACATACTGCTTAAATCTCTTTTGAAGATGAAGTGATCCATTTAAAAGCACATGTAAAAAATCTATATTGCACTTTAGTGTTGAAGACTTTGATGCTAGTCTGCTATTGAAATTTTCCAGAATACAATTGGAAGAATTCAGGGTATTTTTTTTTCCTCCTAAGGACTTTCCCCCCATTTGCTCAATGGGAAAAAAATGGAAGTTATGAGGAGAACTGAAGAAACCTTCTATGAAATATTTAGGAATGAATAAAATACTTCTAAAGACAAAGGTTCATTCACTTCGTGTACATAGTATGAACATTTATATGCAAGACAATCTGCAGCATTAGATACCTCTAGACATTGTATACAACATAGCATGCATATATATATAACAAATTTGATTTCCCCCCCTAATGCTGAGTGTGTATGATGAAAAAATGCTATTAAATAGCTTTCACTGTTATAAAATCTCTAATTCACGATCTAAATATGCTGGTAGCCCCATTCTGACTGGTGGTGGAAAGTGCCATTAAGTTGCAGCTGATTTACGGCAACCTCATAGGGTTTTCAAGGCAAGAGAGGTTCAGAGGTGGTTTGCCATTGCCTGTTTCTGCATCATGACCCTGGATATCCTTGGTGGCCTCTCATCCAAATACTAATAAGGGCCAACCTGCTTAGCTTGTGATATATGACAAGATTGGGATAAGCTTGAGAGAGTCTGAGCCATCCAGCTCAAGGTGTTCTGAGTGTCTGAGGCAGGGTCTTCTGGCTGCTTGAGACCATTTCTGTCCAAATAACTCTTTTTCTCCCCAACAAAAATAGTGTTTCCAGTTTTCAGATGTAGGCGTACGATTTGCACAGGAAAGCTTCTGCCCCTGAGCTCCAGGCCTGGCCCTGCTGGGGCTCGGAGCAAAATGCAGGGCTGGGGAGTGACTGTTGCATCTGATGGCGTGCATGAAGCGTCCGAATAATGACGAGTTTCAGGTTGCTTTAGTGAAGCTATATACCGTGGTTTATTTTACAGATATATACATACAGTCCATACCACCATGCGGTCTCCAATATCACAGAATTGTCCGACAAGGTGCTTTGCAGCAAATACATCCACAAGTGTGAACCCTGACTCCTGGACTGCATTCCTTATATACAACCATGCACCAATCAGAGTCTTATGCCGACTCATGGTGATAGCTAATTGAGCTGATGCAACCCTGTGCAATCAGTACCTTGTGACCCTGTCACATGACAGTCTTGCTTGTCACTTAGATGAGTATGATCTAATACAAACATACCTGGCTGTCATCTTGTCTACATATCATACAATACAATATCACTCTGTTTTGTACTTGGAAGGGAGACCACAACACTCTAGGAATTTGTCCATCTCTAGAGATGGGTGAACTCCTAGATAACTGTGGCATCCCTTCTGGGCCTGATGTGACATCACTGCCCATCCACCAAATACTCCCGCTAGTTACCAGTGCTTGCCTGGCAACCCTATTCAGATAGAAGAACTAAGATACGTGTGCTAAGGTAGCAGCAGTTTGCCGCTCTCTCTGTTTTTAGTGTTGGATATGAATGCAGTTCTTTTTGTAGAAAACTAAGACATTTATACTCTTTAATTTGTTAAGTATGCCAGTGAGTACAACTGTATATGCTTAGTGATAATGCATTTTATGGTTTAAAACAGTGTAATAAGTTTAGGCTTTATTAAAAAGTAAGCATTGTATGTATTTTGATTCTCTCCCAAATTTTCAATTTTATGTCCCCCCCCCTCCTTTCTCCAAAGCTTCAATATTTTTGGAAATGCTACATCTCTAGTCTGGTAGCATGGAATGTTCTATGGCCCTGGGATCAAAGCAGTCTAGTTTATGTGGAGAAAGTGGTCAGTGTAGGTGGGATTTAAAACCTGATCTGGGATATGTTGAGGACTGGGAAGAGAGCCTTAACAGTAGGACTCAAGGGTCAGAGTACTTAGGACACCAAGCAATTGTTTAATTTGGAATACATGCAAATTGTATGTAATATTGACTGTGAGCTGCAGTACAAGTTTGTTTTGGTGAGGGACAAGTCAGACTCAGGTATATAGATTTCCAGAGTATCCAAGGCAAGCCGTTCATATATGTAGGTTTGTTGGATTGAAATCCCAAGATATCAACAGTATGATAACTTTTCTTCATAGGTTTGTTACACAGAATATTTGTTAATGCACTAAACAGAAGAGCACATAAGTCATTGTGTCTTGTTAGCAGAACAGTATTACTGTGTACAAAGACAGCAGATCCAGGAAGGGGCTAATATTTGAGATTTAAGTGTTTAGTTGTTCACCACTGGAGCTCTAAATCAGGTTGTGGCTAATAAATTCCCTGACGAATAGCTAACATCAGCTGCAGATAAATGGTATATTAAGCAGTAATTTTTCTGCGTTGATCTGCTTTTCATTTTGCTTTGTGAGGCATTATTGTGTTTCTTGCAAATCTTTTTGGTATCTTGCATCTGTTATAGTACTGCAGTAAACTTTGTCCCACTGAATTCACATACTTTGTAATACGTACTAAATTTTTATTAAGGAGGGAATGGGATTACAGTTTTACCTATGTACTTTTAACATGGAACTACATATTATGTGTAGTTCTGTGATTCTTTTAACTGATGTTTTTCATGTTTATCCAGTGCAGCTGCTGTGGCCACAGTTTAAACCTGTAAGATGTACTCTGTGGGGGTTAAAGCAGCTTGGTGTGGGGTGTGTGTGAATTTTGGTGGGAACACAGGTGGAAGGAAAAGAAGTTAAGTAGCTCATTTTCCCACATTCCTGAATTTCCTTTAAAATTGTATACAATTAATTAAAAATCCAGCTTTTAAGATAATTGTGTAATTTCAAAATAGTGCATAGGTTTGTCCTAAGCTTGTTTGACAGACAGCATGATTTTGTGCTGCTCTGCACAGTGGTAGTGTAGTAAGGTTACATTTTTTCTGTTTGCTGCAGTATTTCAGGTTGTTCTGTCCTTTTATGCTGTGTAGAGAGGGCAGATTTGCATTTAGAGGGCAGTCTTGGAGACCCCACCCCCTCCAGAGTTCTGTTGTAAGATCTAGTGAGGGATGGGTGTGGGTTTCTTTTGTATTTAAAAGAACAGTGAGCCAAAGTTTTGTGGCTTTGCCAGGTGTTCCTACCTTAGGATGCTTGTCCTGTAGTAGCAAAACAGATGGTTATAAAGCACACTTCTATTCTGGTTCTTGTGGCCTGCTGTTGTCTAGAGGAGTTTATTCATCAGATAGATACAAAACGTGTGTAACTCAAGAATTTTGAAAAGTTTTATTAAATGCATTCTGTTGTTTTTATTGCTTCTTCAATGGGATACTTGTCATTCCTGGTTTCCCCATATCTTTTAAGGTCTTTGAAACAATCCTGTGAGAGACAGTTAGTTCAAGGTCACATTAAAATTCATGGTTAATTGAATATTTAAACCCAGTTTTCTCTGTTGCTGTCTGTTTGCTACTCCACAGTAGTATTGCTTAAAATCACGTTTTGTTTTTATTTTCAGGAATTAAATACTATATATTACTACCTTCATGGAATGGATATACTGTCAAATCTCAGGGAACATCAGTTAAGGTAAGGATATCTGATCTCATGCAATTTTGGTAGGCTGAAAGCTTGAGAGGTTGAGATGAACCTTTGTGGTGTGCTTTGTCTTTTAAATGCTCAGTGGATAGAAGAAACATAAACAACATTTATTTATGTATTTGTTTTATTTATTAAAATGCTTATATGCTTCCTCTTCAGAGACCTCCTTGAGGCAGCTCATAACAAAAATTATAAAATAATAAACCATAAAGTTATTAAAATTTACAAACTTTAAATAAAACTAGAAGCATAAAAACTCATAAAAATCCAGAGTATATATACATTATGCATAGAGAATTTTACTTATTGTCCGTAACTTTGTACAGTTCGACAGTGCACAAATATGGGATGCAAAATATAAAGCAGTAAATTACACTGAAATTAGTGAGTCATCCAAAGTCTTGACTGTATGTATGTTTGTGCTGTATGCTTGGTGGTGAATACCACTGTGGAAAATTAAATAAGTAAATAAATTTTCCTGAATGCCGCTGGATTGATCACCTATAGCAGGGGTGGCCAAACTTGCTTAATGTAAGAACCACATAGAATAAACGTCAGATATTTGAGAACCACAAGACATGAACACACATGCTTTTATTGGAAAATATACAAATTTGCATATTAAATTAAAGTGACAGATGCCTTCTCCGAGCCAAGCCAGTCTGCTGGTGTGATGGGACTTGGAGAACTCATTTAACTTTAGATGGAGAGGGAAGGGAGAAAGACAGAAAGGTAGAAAGAAAGAAAATGGAAAGAAAGCCAATAGATGGGGGAGGGAGGGAAAGGTAGAAAGAAAACAACTTTAACTTTAAATGCGTCCTCCAAGCCAGCCGGTATGAAGGGATTTAAAGAGATAAATGCCTCCTCCAAGCCGGCCAGCTGGGGTGTGTGTGGCAGCTTTGAGAATGCATTTAAAGTTAAAGTTGCTTTCTTTATCTTCTTCTCTCCGCCTCAAGCCTACCTAGAGAGGGGAACACTGGCTGGGGAAGGGAAGACCAATCAGGCAGGGAGGCATGCCTCCCCTTTGCTTCCCCAGCCACCCTTGCCAGGAGCCACATAATATGTGGCTCCTGGCCACCCCTGACCTATAGGGTGAACTGAAAGATTATAAAGTGGTGCATGAAAGTTCTAAGTGAGCCAGCTGTTAAAGATATCATCTTTGGTCTTGGTTCAAATCTCTGAATATTTTCAATCCTGGTTCTCCCTGTGTAAAATAAGAATACTGCCAAGTAACCTTAGTTATCATTGCATTGATGAAAGAGAATTATGCCTCATCATCCACAGTGGAACAGACATAATGATATGGAATTTTTCTTCTCAGAATTATGACTTCAAGTGCACGTTACAAAAGGTACGAAGGAAACCAAGTTCTGTTTTGGTAAGTTCACATACTGGTATACAATTTAAAAACGTAAGACCTATAGTACTAAGGACAAGCCAACATTATTTAGTCTTAATATAACATATGTTATCCAGAATCCCACTCATGCTGAAAAACAAGCTGCTGCTGTAGTTCAGAGGACAGTAAATGTTAGGAGCAAGCAGTGGCATGTGAGAACATTGTTAAAGCTGTTCTTACCATCTTATTTGGGACATGCCACTAATACACTACTAAGATGTCACAGTATTACTGGGATTAGTAGTAAACATTTTTTGTCTCATTGGAGGGTTAAATAAAGGCATGTAGGGCAGTACAGTTTTATTAATGTGCTTTGAATGGAGTTGATTAAAAATAAGGAGGGATTGGATGGGGGACAGAGAAACTAGGGTTTTTTTTGTGTATTTTCCTACCAGCTACTAGAGGTATAATCTTTTCTGACAGCTAATGTTAAATCTAAGTAACATTTCTCCCCTTATTTTAAAACTATTATAGTATAGCTCTTTTTTTTTGCATGCTGATTTTAATCAAAGTCAGTCGTAGTAGCATATTAGTACAGGTTCAGAAAACAGCATTGTTTGCTATTTCAGGATGAGAAATATGTTGCTTAGTTACACAGGCTGATATATGACACCTGAAATTAACATGCAGAGCTCTTATGTTTTTAATTTTTTTGCTGCCTCAAAAAATGAGTCACCAGGTGTTTCAAGCCATACTGGTCCAAAATTCAAATTCAAACCACAGTCCCATGTAAGACGCTGCAGGTTTCTGCTCAGCAAGGCAACACTTCCCCTTACTCTTGGGAGTCATTAAATTTCTCTCTGGGTAGTAATTGCTGCCACTAGCAATAGCCACATAATATCCACATAAAACAAGTAACAGGTGAGAAAGTGCTCACTAAATAATATTGTAAATATACTAGTATATGTTCTAAAAAATCATTGCAGTGCTTGAATGTAGAGGTTCATCTTCAGTCTTCTGTGCAGACACCCATTGGGACTGCTTCCAAGGAGGCCTGCTGTGGAAAAGTATATTCCCAAGCTAAAAAGTCCTTTAGAGGGTGCTCCTCCTCCCTCTCACCATTGTGAGACGTCCTTTTCCCGCCCAAAGGCTGTCACATGGTCCAAGGGACGGGGCACCCACTCTCTCACTTCCTTTTTCTGCCGCCATTGAGAAAGGTTCTTCCCAGCATTGCTCCTTTGAAGAAAGATCTAGGAGAAAGAGGATTAGCCTGTTTGTGTTGGGTAATCTTCTCTTGAAA